ATTAAAAAAAAAAAAAAAGAGAGAGAGAGAGAGAGGAAGGAGGCATGGCCTAGAAAAGAGAAAGAAAAGATTGAGAAAATGTCTTCTTGCACTTGAGGGCCGTCAAGGGCAGTGGACCCAGAGTGTGGCTGAGTGCAGGGCTTGGGGAACATAGCTTGGTAGGATCATTGGGAGTGGGTTCCTCAGCCTTAGACCAAAGTTTTTTTGCTTTTGGCAGTCTAGCCTAATTACTCTTCCTTTTTGTTGTTTGTTTACTTGTTCGTATCCCATTTCTCTCTCCAGGCTAGAAACTCAGTTAAGATAGGATTAGGTGTATCTTTGGGACTGCAGTGACTCAGCAGTATAAGCACTGGACTGCTAACCACAAGGTTGGTGGTTCAAGCCCACCAGGTACTCTGAGGGAAAAAGATGAGGCTTTCTGCTCTAGTAAAGGCTTACAACCTCAGAAATCCTATGCAGGGTTGCTATGAGTTGGAACAGACTCAATGACAGTTAACAACAAATGTGTATCTTGGAACACTCGTGGTGAGGGACATAACTGCTAACTGAAAGGTCAGTGAGTTGAACCCTTTAGCAGCTCTGTGAGGGAAAGATGTGGCAGTGTGCTTCTTGGAAAACCCCAGAGGACTGTTCTAGGATCATGATGAGTCTGAATTGGTTTTGGTTTCTGGCTTGTGTATCTTAAAGAGCACTGATGGTGACAGGGTGACAGTGTTCAGCTGCCAACTGAAAGGTCAGGCATTAGAATCTACCAGCCATTCTGAGAGAGAAAAAATCTGGTGATCTGCTCCCATAAAGATTGTTGTTGTTGTTAAGTTTTATCAAGTCAATTTCAACTCATAGTGACCCTGAATAGGCTTTCTGAGGCATATCTTTTATGTGTGGGAGCAGAAAGCCTCATCTTTCTTCCTCGAAGTGGTTGGTGGGCTCAAACCATCGACCTTGTGGTTTGCAGTCTAATGCTTATCCTACTTGGCCATTGTACTCTCCTCACAAAGATTGCTGTGTTGCTATTAAGTGCCGCAGAATCGGTTTCGACTCTTAGCTACCCTGTATAGCGTTTCTGAGTCTGTAAATCTTTGTGGGAGCTGAAAGCCTCATTTTTCTCCTGCGAAGTGGTTGGTGGGCTCAAACTACCGACCTTGCAGCTCAAACTGACCTTGTGGTTCAGCGCATTATCCTGCAGTGCTAGGAAATCTTCTGGAGTAGCTCTACTGTGTTGTTATTGTTAGGAGCCGTCCTTCAGTTTTGACTCACAAGATCGAGTCCTGTGTACAACAGGATAAAACACCGGCTGGTCCTGTGCCAGCCTCAATCTCTCCTATGTTTGAGTCCACCATTGTAGCCACTGTGACAATCCATCTCACTGAAGGACTTCCTCTTCTTTGCTGATCTTCCACTTTACCAAGCATGATGTCCTTCTCCAGGGACTGGTCCCTCCTGATAACTTGTCCAAAGAATGAGAGAAGAAGAGTCACCATTCTGCCTTTGAAGGAACATTCTGGCTGTTTTTTTCTAAGATAGGTTTGTTCATTCCTTTGGCAGTTCATGGTGTATTCAATATTCTTCACCAAACCCATAATTTGAATGCATCACTTCTTCTTTGGTCTTCCTTATCTATGTCCAACTTTCACTTGCACATAAGGTGACTGAAAATATTTTGGCTTGGGTCAGGCCCACTCTAGTCTTCAAAGTGATATCTTTGCTCTTGAACACTTTAAAGAGGTCTTTTGTGGCAGATCTGCCCAGTGCAATATGTCTTTTGATTTCCAATTTTTGGCCAGGTACCTGTCTTCCAAACTTCTTTCTTGGCACAGACAAGTGAGCACTTCCAGCTCTGCACTGGCTTGTTGAGACATTTCAATAGGTATTTAGTCAATTCCTGGAGTATTGTATTTTGCCAATGCCTTCAAGTGAAGCTTGGACTTCTTCCTTTTGTACCTTTGGTTCTTGATCATATGGTCCCTTCTGAAATGCCCACATCCACCGATTCTATGGACCTTACTATGAGTTGAAATCAATTCTGAGGGTCACGATGAGTCAGAATCACCTAACAACAAAAACGGCTGTCTTATTCTTGTAGCATTCTAGGCAATCAATAAATGTTTGTTGAATGAATAAATAAAACATGCTGTGCCCCCGTCCAATTCTATGCCTTTGTTGCTGCTTCCTCCCTTCTTGTACTCTGCCCTGACTCCATCTATCCCCAGTTATCAAAGCCCTCCTCATCCTTCAAGATCCACTCAAGTAGCATTTTTTCTTCATGAAGCCTTTCCTGACTTTCCAGTTTGGAGCAATAGTCTCCCAGATGAATTCCATGTCCTGCAACTTGCCTTGATTATAGCACTTACACATTTTGCTTTGGGTTTAATCACTTTTGTACTCATCTTGGTCCCCCACTAGTTTTCTGTCCTCTTACCAGATAGTGAACTCATTGAGGGCAAGGGCAGATCATCTGTGCATCATTCCAGCATCCCTGGCACAGTGCTTTCTAAATAGCAGGTGCTCAATATGTGCTGGTTAGCAGAAGGCAAGACCTTTAACTGGTCTTGAGTGCTTCCTTTAAACCTGAATCTCCTTTCCCCAGGCTGGAAGCTCACTGACTAGACTATCTCTAAGGTCTCCTTCCTCCTCCCCTACTCAATCACTGCCAACTTTGCCTCTTACCCCAGTGCCATTTCAGACATTTGCATGGCCTAACCACAGCCGGGTAAATGCGGGGAGGTTGAACTACAGGAACTTTCTGATCTCACAGGGCTCCTTGGCTAGAGCTCAGAGTTGAGATTGCCTGGACTTCAGGGGAATGTCCAGGGCCTCCTGTGGCACCTGCAGACCCTGAGGAGCAAAACAGCAAGGGGAAATCCCAGGTCTGCAGGTGTGTGGCCACCATGTACGATGATGGAGCAGATAGCAGAATGTGTGTGTGAGTCATCAGGGAGGGGCTCTTCCCCAAGCCCTTCCTGTTGGGGCCTCCAAATGCTGAGTGGCAAGTTTTTCAGTAACTTAACCCTGATATTTCAGGGGGTTTTGTTCCTGAGCAGGACTCCACACCCATGCTTACCTCAGAGGCGCTTAAACTTTGGAGCTTACCAGCTATACAGATGACTAGAAAAAGCAGTCATGTCATCTTTGGTTCATAGCAAGCTCGTATGTGGCTGAGTAGAACTGTGTTCCACAGGGTTTTAATGGTTGTGACCTTTCAGAAGCAAATTGACAGGTCTTCCTTCTGAGGCGCCTCTGAACTACCCACCTTTCAGTTGGCCTAGCACTGTTTGTGCTACCCAGGGCTTCATACAGACTGCATACCTAGGGAAATTCTCACCTGGGTGCCAGCTTCTTGCCAAGAGCAGTGGGTAGATTCCCTTGAGGCAGCCTGTGGCAGCAGAGATTGCTAGATCCTGCTGGAGAGGTAGTCCCTTAGGAAAGGATCCTGCAGAGTATAGCGAACAGGCTGTAGGTGGTGGGGATGGTGATGGGGGGGCCACCGGTCAGAATTTGTTGGCAGGAGGCCAGACCATGTGAGCCAAGAAAGGTGCCTGGTCTTGAAGGAGACTGGACTAGGCAGGGCCACTCAACCTTGGTTGGGTCGAAACAGAATTGGCAGAACTTGGGAATGTGGGAGATGAGAGGGTTAGCCCCTTGGCATTCAAAACCAGGAAAATTCCATCAGTAGAAAAATATGAAAGTATTCGCCTGCAGTAGCCAGCAAGAGGCACTAACTAGTACTTTCCCGAGGAACTCAACAAGCAGAATTTTCTAGAACCTTGATGGAAGCTGTGGGAAACCTAATCAGAGTACTGAAGGAAAGGCCACAAAATGATCCAGAGAGCAGATTCATTTAGTAGCTCAGAGTAGTCTCTGGCTTGGCAACTCAACCTCTGTGTGTCTCAGTTTTTTTTTCTAAAAATGGGGCTAATCAAACCTACTTCATGACAATGGAGGTTAAATGAGTCCGTATATGCAAAGAAGTTAGAGCAATGCCTGACACGTTGTTGTTGTTGTTAAGTGCCCTCAAGTCAGTACTGACTCATAGCGATCCTGTATAGGATTTCCGAGGAGCGGCTTCAAATCGACCTTGCAGTCCAACACATTAACCCACAGAAGCACACACCATACAAACATCTGTTTATTATTATTTATTAAAATTCAGACATTTAGGATCCAGAAAAAAAGAATCAAGCCGATTTTGACTCATAGCAAACATCTGTTTAGTATTATTAATAATAGATCTACTTAGACTCTTGCTCTGCGAAGTGTGAGCCACTAGCAGAAACATGAGCAACACCTGGGAGCATGTTAGAGGTGCAGCTCAGAGCCGGATCTGGATGCACTGGATCGGAGCTTACACACGCCAAGGGCCCCAGGTTAATGGTGAGCACATTAACGTTTGTGAGCGCTGCTGTTGAGCACACAGGAGGCCACATCCCAAACCGAGGAGGGATGGGACAATTTTGGAATGGAGCAGAGGCTAACAAGGGTGAGGTCTCCTGTGTTGGGATTCCCATAACCAGAAAAGCCTCACACTCCAGTCCCCGCCTGCCACCTGGAGCATTATCACTGTTCAGGCCTGGGAAGATCCCTTATACGTCAGTGTGCTGGGACAACCTGGTGCCCAGGGCCACCGTGGGGGAGCGGTGGCTGAGGCCACCCTGCCAGAGCCCTGAGGATGGCGGGAGGTTGAGTGGGGGTCTGCTGGAGTACCAAGTGCTCAGGAGGCGGTCCACCTGCTCCCGGCTGGAGATGACGCGAAGGTGGGCCTTCCCGCTACAGCCATCCAGGCTCTCTGGAGACTCTAGGGACACAGAATCCCTGCCCGAAGTGTCCTGGCGCAGCCCCAGCGCCCGAATCTCGCTCTGCATGCTGGCGAAGAAGTGCAGCACACACCTGTGCGCGAAGTCCCGCGCATGCTCACAGCAGGTCTCGTCAAAGAGCTGTTGCTCCAGGTCCACGTAATTGCTCCAGTACCTGCGCTGCAGGAGGACGGTCTGGTCGAAGCAGGGCCTCAGGCATCGGGCCAAGAAGGCTGCAATGATGAGCAGCAGGGTGACACTCCAGCCAATGGCCTGGGGTGCATAGAAAGCACAAGGTTTAGTGCTGGTACACGTTTGACAAAGTCCCTCCCAGCCTTTCCTAGACCAATTCATCCATCCATTCAGTCATCCATTGCCCACCTGTTCCTCCATCCATCAACCTACCTTCTCATCTGTTCTTCCTTCCATTCATCCTCCATTCTCCTGGACCATATATCTATCCACCCATCCATCCATTCTCCCAACCATCCTTCCGTCTGTCCATCATTCATCCTCCTATCGATCCATCTTCCCAAACTTTCTCCTATTTGCCCATAATTCCATCCATCCATCCACTATTCTCTCGTCTTGTCATGAATTGAATGGTTTCCTCCCAAAATATGTGTCAACTTGCCTGGTTCATAATTCTCAGTGGTTTGGCAGCTATGTATGATGCCTCATGACGCAATCTGATGTGCTAAACCAATAAAAGGATTAAGTATGGGATGCAGCACACGTATTCCCAACACAGCTCTGATCCAATGTAAGAGGATTTCCCCTGGGGTATGGACTGAATCATCTTTTATTTTACAAGAGATAAAAGGAGTGAGACGGGAGCAGAGACAAAGGGACCTCATACCACCAAGAAAGAGCAAGGAGCTGAGTATGTTCTTTGGTTACAGGGTCCCTGTGCTGTGAACCTCCTAGGACCAGGGAAATATTGACTCCAAGACACATGGAGGTCTTTAAGGGACACCAAGCCCACAGATGCTGAAGAACCTATCTCTGGAGTCAGCAAAGAGGAAAAGCCTTCTCCTAGAGCCAGCGCTCTGAATTTGGATTTCTAGTCTCCTAAACTGTGGAGTCCTGGCATGGCACTGTGGGTTAATGTGCCAGATTGCAAAGCCATTTGAATTGCAAGGTTGGTGGTTCAAGCTTACCAGCAGCTTCTTGGAAACCCTATACAGGGTTGCTATGGGTCAGAACTGACTCGATGGCACTGAACAACAACAACAAACTGTGAGAGAATAAATGTGCTTGTTAAAATTTTCTGGGTCGGCAATTGAGGATGCTTCCATTCCATACTCTGTTGTTTACTCTCAGGAAACAGACCAAGACAAAGTTCAATAGTCAACCATCAGCTGGAAAATTGATACTTACAGTTTTCTTGGATTCTCAAGGACCAGTTTTGGAACATAACCAGAAAAAACGTTCAACAACCAACAGTGCTCATTACAGTGAGACGCTCACTAAAGAGCTGAAGGCTAAACTTCAGATTAAACTCAGAGGACTGCTAGCCAAGGGTATAGTGATCTTGCCTGACAATGTACATTCACACATTTCTGCTCACACTGCAAAAAAGCCAGCACTGATGCCAAAGCCAATGTAGGACCAGAGAGGTGCCCACCACCCCCAATTACCTGTGACAGGCACCGCAGGTAGCGAGACACTGCCTTTCGAGCAGGGCTGTCCCTGACCAGCTCATCTTCCTTGCAGGGCACCTTTGCCAGGAAGACCTGCACCTGGCTGTGGGTCATGTTGGCAAAGTCCAGAAACTTCTCAGGGTCCACGGAGCTGCTGAAAGCACACACAAAGCACTTCCCGTCAAGGAGGGCCAGCAGGATCCAGACAAGAGGAGCAGCCAGTGCTCTCTGCAGCACGGAGGAGCACATGTACCTGGGGGCAGCAGAAGAGGAGGTCACAAAGGACAGCCAGGATCCAGCTACAGCAGGAAGGCTATGGGGAGATGTAAGGATGGACTGCCCCTGGAGTGCTGCAAAATAACCAGACCGTGTGATCTCAAAGGAATGGTTGCAACCGGAGGCAGTGGTCCTAGTAGCAGAGGGTAGAGAGGAAACAAGGCTGGGGCCCTGGGAATTTCGGGACTGGAATACTGGGGACTTTGTATTCTTATTAGGTGCTATAGGTGCCATTCCCCTGCTAGAGGCATCTACAGTTTTGATAAGAGTTCTCATTCATGTGGAGACAGTCATTAGTTAAATCATTGCCTCTCACTACATGCAAAAAACATGTCAGGGCATGGTGCTTCATGTGTGTGTCAAGTAATTCTCAGAAATCCTGTATCTTTTCTGTGTCATCAGAGACCATCCACTCACTGGACACAGAAATGTCAGGAACAGAAATATGTTTCCAGAGTGGAAGCTGGCAGATGGGTCAGCCATGAGCTGAGGGACTGAGGAGGGCACACCTGGCAGTGCCCGGGAAAGTGGATGGTTAGAGAAGCCCCTACCAATGCCCATGGGAGTGGTTGGACCTTGGGGCATACAGTTGGCTCTGCCTGTGGGGTGGGTGGCTACAGGAATCCCTGACAATGTCCATGGTGGGGGCTGGGTTTTGCTGATTACTTTTGTTGTGTTGATGTGTAACTTTGGAGACTCCCCATCTGTTAGTAGAATTGCGCCATAGGGTCATCTTGGCTGTGATCACTACAGAAGCAAACCAGGCCTATTCCAAGGTGCAGAAGAGGGGTTTGAACCTACAACTTTTGAGTTACTAGTCAAGTGCAAACTGGTGTGCTATCTACCAAGTGATCTTTGGTTATGTTTTTGTTGTTCAGCTAAAAGTGTCTGTGAAGATGAGTAGTTGGAGAGTGGGGAAGACCCTGGCAATGCCTTTGGGCAGTTGAGGTTTGGAGGTGCACATAGCAGTGCCTATGCAGCTAGGGATTTAGGAGAGCCCCTGGCAGTGTCCCTGGGCAGCTGGGTGACATGGGATCCCACCTGATGATGCCTGGGTCCTTCCTCCGGTGCCCCACAGGCCGGCGCCATTCTTCCACCATCACCACGGACTGCCTGTTGGCAAGAAGGCCGCAGAGGAATAGGGCCAGTGGCGGCGCAAGTAGCAGGCCCAGGCCGTAAAGGGTGTTGTAGCGTGCCAGGCAGGGGCAGTTGAAGTCGAATGAGGAGTACAGTTTGACTGTGACCACAGCCAGCAGCAGGCAAATGCCGTTCATGACCGACTCTGAGCTGGACTGGAAATGCTGGAAAAGCATGCGGAATTTATCCATGGCTCTGGCGGCGTGTGGGGCAATCAGCTGGGCAGTGAGGCTTTCTTCTGGCTAATGCCAAGCCACACTCTGGGCAAGTCTGGGGGCCACAGGAGGGTCTAGCTTCTCTTCCAAAGACCTGAGAGGATAAGGAAAAAGTTGTGTCCAGACCCCAGCACAACCTCTCAGGTCCAGTGGAGAACTTAAGGCAAAAGCCGACTCTCTCCATAAAGGCCCCTAATGCCACTCCCCTCCTCTCTGGGGAATGAGCCATTGCTGGGTGACCAGCCAGTCCAAAGCACTTCTAGGCAAATGGGCTCCACCCTGTCCACCCTAGCCCACTTCCTCCTGTCTCCAGGGTTTATATCCTCAGACCAGACAGCTGGTGGGGTGTTCTGTGGGGAACAAATTCTGGGTGCAGTAAGGCAAAGATAGAGCTGACGGAGGTCCAATTATATTTTCTGGTCTTGGTCAAAAACAGAATTTGATTCAGTCCAGTTCGGGGAGATTTCATGTTTTTTTGTACTGAGAAGAATCAGAATTTTGTTGTTATAGTTTCTTCACGTCAGTGGACTACTTACTATAGCCTCTTCTAGCTACAGTCTTCAGGAGCTCTGGTAGCGTAGTGGTTACGAGTTCGGCTGCTAACCTCAAGGTCAGCTAGTTCGAAACTACCAGCAGTTCTGCAGGAGAATTCCTGTAAAGATTTACAGTCTCAGAAACCCTGTACAGGGTTGCTATAAGTAGGAACCGACTCCACGGCACATCACCACTACCAACAACAACTATAGTGACTGATGCTGTTGAGTCTATTCTGACTCATAGCAACCCTGTATAGGGTTTCCAAACAGTGACTGGTGGGTCTGAACCACTGACCTTACTTACAGTTAGCAGTCCAGTGTTTATCCGACAGCTCCACTCCAGGGCTCCATTGTGACTGGTTGTTGTTATGTGCCGTGGAGTCGGTTCCGACTCATAGTGACCCTGCACAGGGTTTCTGAGGCTGTAAATCTTTACAGGCACAGAAAGCCTCATCTTTCTCCCGCTGGTACTTTCAAACTGCTTATGGTCCTGATGTGGCACTGAAGGATACACTGGACTGCTAACTTCAAGGTTGACAGTTCATACCTACCAGGCACTCCTCAGAACCCCTATACAGATTCCATATGATTTGGAACCAGCTCAAAGGCACTTAACAACAAAGGTGTTGGATTTGGCTGTTAAGAATGTAAATGAAGCTAACGGCGTCCTAGTGTGAGTGAAATTATGCAAATAAAGTGTGTGAACTTAACAAAGGGATTGGTCAGGTGTGCCATCCATTAGGCTTAAAATGAGTCATTCCAGAGGCAGAGGGGACCACCAAGAAGAGACAACAGAGCCTTTGGATGTGGGATCCCTGTACTGAGAACCTCCTCGGCCCAAGAGACACAGATGTAACACTAAATACGGCAAGAGATGACTAGAATCTCAGGGCCTATTTGAACCGCATGGTCGGTGGCTCAAGCTCACCAGCCGTTCCTCGGAAACCCTATTCGCTGTGAATTGGAACCGTCTCTTAACAACAACAATCAACACTGGGCAGGGACTGTGCTACTGCGCAGGCGCACTAGAGGTGCCTTAGCGTGGCCGCGCCTCTTCCTCTCTTGTGGCCTGGGCCCTAGTTCTCAAAGTACCGTTGGGCAAGGCGGTCGTTGAGAAGGCGGGGGTCGTGGACTCCGGCCAAGGCTCAGAAGCACGGAGGTGCAGGGTATCGCCGAGGAGCCGGGGCTGGGTGCCGCCAGCAGCGCTCGCTCTGGGGCCCCCGGCCCTGTTCCGGACTACGCCCCGTTGCCAGCCCCGGCCCAGCAGCTGACCCTGCTGGTGATGCGCCCCTGTGGAGTGCTGGACGAGACTGCGACCGGGGGCGCCCTTCAGCAGGCGGTGCACAAGCCCGGCAAGTACCTGTGTGACGTGGCGGGTGATGGCGAGGAGGAGGCTGGGAACGACGACGCAGACCTGCTGGACAATTCAGATCCCACGGGAGGAGGCGAGAACGCAGCTAGTTTGGAGGATCTGGAGGACGAGACCACCCAGTCAGGGGGAGAAGGCGGCAGCAGCGAAGCCCGGCGACTGGGCAGCGGCGGGGGCAGCACGAGAAAGGCCTGCACCTACAAGGGCTGCAACGAGACCACGAGCCAGGTGGCCAAGCAGCGAAAGCCGTGGATGTGCAAGAAGCACCGCAACAAGATGTATAAGGACAAATACAAGAAGAAGAAAAGCCACCAGGCCTGGAACTGTGGTGGGGCAGCTTCCGCAGCCAGCGCGGGAAATGTCAAGTTGGAGGAAAGTGCAGATAGTATACTCTCCATCGTTAAGCAAAGAACTGGATCTTTTGGGGACCGTCCTGCAAGACCTACTCTTTTAGAACAAGTGTTAAATCAAAAACGACTGTCATTACTAAGAAGTCCAGAAGTAGTACAATTTTTACAGAAACAACAACAACTGTTAAGTCAGCAAGTTTTGGAGCAAAGACAGCAGCATTTTCCAGGAGCACCGGTGTGAGGGAACTTGCTGAAAGCATCTACGGATATTTATCATTGTGTAGTAGATGAACATATTTTTATACTAAAGTTAAATGGGTAAGATATGCCAGTTAAATGTAAACAATCCTTTTCCTGTAACTTTGTGTGCATTTGGGGGTAAATAAGTTTCACACTTTGTGCAACTAAGCCTTTCCATTTACCATGAGTTTAAAGAAATCAGCTTATCTTTCTAAGATAATATTTAATAAACAAAATGTTCCTCTTTAGTAATTGTTACTGTAGGTATGAAGCAGTTACCTTCCATTGAAATCGTGAAGTTAATATTTATCTTAAATCATCTAGTTCAGTGGTTCTTATCAAAGGCACTTGGAAGTGTTTTTGATTGTCACAGGTACCTTGAGGACTTATGATTTTCAGTGAGTAAACTTGTTGTTATGTGCCATGGAGTCGGTTCGGACTCATAGTGACCCTGTACAGGGTTTCCGAGGTTGTAAATCTTTACGGGAGCAGAAAGCCTCGTCTTTCTCCTGCAGAACAGCTGGTAGTTTCGAACTGCTGACCCTGAGGTTCGCAGCCCGATTTGTAACCACTACGCTACCAGAACGCCTTACTAAAATGTTCTGCAGTGTCTGGACTAGTCCCATACAACCAAAAATTATGCCACCCATAATGCCATTAATACCCTCCTTGAGAAGCATAAAGAATTCCTTGCAGTAACAAGTAACTGGGACACCTAGAGTTGGGTTCTGGTTAATAACCTCTTCTTTGCGGTTAAAACAAAGAGGTAAACGTATTTTATATGTCTAAGGAATGTGGTCATTGTTGGAATATCTGTGAAATTAGGATGTACATGTCTTCTCAGAGATACATAGGTAAAACCTCCGGAGGATTAACTAAGTACACTGGAATGAGTGCATCATCGAAAACTAACTTCCCTACTTCATGTTACCTTTTAGTTTTGATCTCCTTGAAAGCAGACACTTGGATGTTGAATTTGTGCACAGTATATAGATGTATGTCAGCCCACCAATATCAGGACAGAATTGTTTTTCTCAATATCCTTTTGAAAAATTAGATCCTGAAAATATGAGTAATACTTCAGTATTTTATCAATGTTTTTCAAAATAGAGCAATTTAAGATTGTGTTATTCCTCAGTATATATTCAAAGACTAATGGGCAATCTGGACAGATTTTTTTTTTTTTAATGTTTTCTAATAGGAAAACTTTTAAAAAAGCAAACCTACCAGTACGTGTAACAAATATTTAGAAGATATTTCCCAATATTATGATAATAAATGTATGTGTCTTGAGTATAATTGCAGAGATAGGTTAATTTCTTACCATTTTTAAACTCTGAAATATACATCGATTTAAACATAGACATGGCTGTTCTAAGAAGCAGTTATGGAAAGAAAACATGATTTTTCTCACTTTGTATGTGTTTCACACTTTCATATCTGTGCAAAAACACTTTTACCAAAAGTCATTAAAGTCTAGTTGTTGATAAAAAAAAACAGAAAAAGAGATTACTAGATGTCTAACCGGAAGAAAAGATTTAGATCAAGGCACATGCTTGTTTGTTCAGGATACTGGTTTGATAGGGATTTGAAACATTGACTGTTTAAAACAGGGGGAGATAAAGACATGAAGTGGCTGGCTTACACACTTTTGTGGGGATGCTTGGTCTCAAAATTAGGAGAACATGGGAGATTCCTTACTGAATACTCTAGTTTCTTCTTTTTCTGATGGGTCTGGGGAAGAGACCTTGGGGGAAGATTCTGAAACATTATATGATTTAGCTGTTAGTAATGGTTGTTAACAGGATTAATTGTGATTATAAAAATTGTAATTGTAGAATCTGTAACTATGAAAGTGGACTAGGGGGAGATACTGCTGGACTAGAGTACAGTGGCTGAACCTAAAGTCCCTTGAAGGTTTAGCTCTACTGATACCCCCATAAGACTGAGAGCAAAGGAATAATTTTCTCTCAATTATATTTGACCAGAGGACAGAAAAGATAAAGATGAGACAAACTTTTGCAGAACCTGACCCTATCAGATGGACACCTACAGCAGACATAAAAGGCTGGCATCTGTGTAACTCACTCCAAGGACTGTCTACTGAAGGAACAACTGCTAATGACTGGTTTGGACTGGTAAAATGACAGGGAGGGGGAGTTAGTCCTTCAAGTATGAAAGGACCAATGACTAGAAGAACCAGGCCACGGCCTGTGGTGCAGTGAATTACTTAATATGGCTCTTCTAGCCATAGTCTTTGCCACTTCTACCAGATGACTGGATGGGAATATGTAAATGAGTGCTTGTGACCCACTGAGGGGATTGGATAGCTTGTCAATAATGTAAATAAAATGCATGGTGCCTTTGTTGAGGTGGACCATGCAATAAGGTATAGATTAGTCAATTTTGTCATCCCACCAGGCTTAAAATAAGTCATTCCACTGGTAAAGGGTTACACTTGGAGCTAGGTTTGCTGACCCACGGATCTAGAGTGGAGCACCTTCAGGCAGAGGCTCACTGGTGGAGTGGGATGCCTCTGGGCAATTATCAGTAGAGTTAAAAGAGCATTGTAACACTTGCTGAGCAGGGCAGATGCTGGCTGATGGGCTGAGGGCCAGAGAGCCTGTGAGCATAGCTAAGAAGAGCCTGTCCTGATCAAAGAGTTGTATTCTAAGTGTTCTTGAAACTGAATTGTAACCTGTTGCTTTCCTAATAAACCCCATAATCGTGAGTCTGTGAGTTCTGTGTGGCCATTGCAATGGCCTAGCAGAGAAGTAGAGTGGGAGGGATGGTTGATGTTAGAATTGGTCTTCCCTGACCTCAGGCCAACCTTGGGCTGTTGATGTAAATAATGATTCTCTCTCCCTTTGGTGAAGTTAGATAAGGCGGTCAGATACCTCCACCATGCCATTTTACTGACTCATGGTGATCCCATTTATGCAGGCTAAAACTGCTCCCATGGGATTTTTGAATGGAGATCACCAAGCCTGTCTTCTGAGGTCTCATTCGGGTGGCTTTCAACTACTAACCTTTTGGCTAGTAGTCAAGTACTTATTAGCCTTTTGTACCGCTGAATGCTCCAAAGGAGCCAGGAAGAGAATTTGTTACTATGTCTGAAGGCTTCCTGGAAGAGGAGGACCTTGAGAGGAACCTTAAACTATGTGCCTGCATTCACCAGTAATATGGATACTATTGTGTCTTCAAAGTGCATGTAGAAATCCTAACCCCATACATGTCAGTATGACCCTGCTTGGAAATCAGTGAGCCTCTGCAATCCCCACATGTTTTTTGTTCTGCTGTTTTCCAGATCAGGCCAACAACCAGCTCAGATCTTCTAAAGCATAGCTTCCACTACGTCACCCCACTGTTCAAGTAGGACCAGGGCTCCCACAGACTCCTTCACTTGTCATTCAAGGCCCTCCACAGTACAATCATCACCAAACTTCCCATACCCCCTCAAAACCCCATTGCTATCAAGTGAATTCCAACTCATATCAACCTTACAGAAAAGAGCAGAACAGCTCCATAGAGTTTCCCAGGTTGAATCTTTATGGCTGTAGACTGTCAGATCTTTCTTCCTTGGAACAACTGGTGACTTCAAACTGCTGACTTTTCAGTTAGCAGCTGAATACTTAACAATCCTGCGGCTCCTTACAATGACCAGAATCAGGAAATTTACATTGATACAACACATTATCAAATATATTGTTGTTGTTAGGTGCCATCGAGTCGGTAAAGACCCATAGCAACCTTATGCACAGCAGAATGAAACACTGCCCGATCCTGGGCCAACCTCACTATTGTTGCCACGCTTGAGTCCATCAATGCTGCCACTTGGCCAATCCATCTCGCTAGGGGTCTTCCTCTTGTTCTCTGACCCTCTACCTTAACCAAACATGATATCCTTCTCCAGTGACTGGTCCCTTCTGACTATATGTCTCCAGGGCATTTAAGTGCTCTTCCTTAACAAATATCAAATATATAGTTCATATTCAAATGTCCTCAGTTGTCCCAATAATATTGAATATAGTTGTTTGTAAACTTCCAAACTAGAATCCAATGAAAGGTTAAACATTGCATTTGGGTGTTATGGCTCTGTAGTGTCCTTTATTCTAGAATAATCTCCCAACTTTTCTGTTTTTCATGATATTGACAGATTTGAAGACCCCAGTCCAATTATGTTGCAGATCAATCTTTCCACTTTGAAAGAAAGAAATATAATTATGATTAAAAACCAGAAGCACCTACCCTTAATAAAAGATACCCAAACAGAAAACACCAGAGTTAACTAAGTTTGTCCTGGATACTGTTAAATGTTGATGGCTTGTTTTCCCTTTGTTAAAAAGGAAGATTAGCAGTATCTGTAAAAAGGTGTTAAGGAAGAGCACTTAAATGCCCTGGAGACAGCTGTGTGAGGGGTAACTCTCCCTCTGTGGCTTGGCATGATGTAATACCAAGTGTGTATGTCACCTCATGTCAACATGAATGCATGTACAATATAGCATCAACTGCTCTGGGAAAACATCACCAGTGTCTGCAAAGGCACTGATGCCTAGGATGGAGTGAGTTGGGGTTTAGTGACTACTAAGATTACATAATGAGAAACAGCAGTAAGCTAGAGCTCAGATTCTGGTATACCACTCTGCATCCTTGGGGATTCAGGATGTGGGGTTGGTGTCAGATGGGTTTCTAGCCTGATCCTTGGGAACCACAAACCTCTCTATGTCTTAGGCTAGTAATTATCCTGACAGCATGACTTAATGTAAGGATGACATGAGTTGATGCCAGCAAGTACTTAGTGGCTTGCATCTTGCTGTGATGCTGGAAGCTATGCCTCTGATATTTTAAACACCAGCAAGGTATGCCCATGGTGGACAGGTTTCAGCTGAGCTTCCAGAACAAGACAGAGTAGAAAGAAGGAGAGGTGGACTACTTCTGAATGTTGAGCCACTGAAAACCTTATGACTAGCAGGGGAACACTTTCAGCATCTGAATATTGCA